GGCTCAGCTTACGAAGACTCCTTCGGACTCGGCAACGTCGCTGTCGAATCACCTGTGGATGTAAGATGGTACGCGGCAGCTAGAAAAGTCTACTGCAGAGACTCACGAGGATTCCTGTACTTCTCGAATGCTTCGTGTCCATCGTCATCATCACTCGCCGCAGCATCAGGACCAGGAGCAGCGTCCATGATGGGAAGGTCGTAGGAAAATATAACTTATACCATTAGCCGTATACAGATTGTATAATACAGCAAGCTCAACGATGTACCGTGTAACACACGCCTTGTGTCCATGGATTCCTCAGTGGGCAGTCCTCACTGGATGCCGGACTCATGTTGGCGACTGTGTCCTCGTTTCTCACCTGGAAAAGAATTTCGCGAGGGCAAAATTCGTCGTTTTTTAGTGAACACTCGATACCTTCTGAATCAGACCATCGGACCATGCACCGGGGCAAACGAAAGACCGTAAGGGGAACCTTGTAACAAAAGTAGAATTAATTGCGAATCTCTGCTCCTCGATGCACACGAGACTCTCGTGATACAAGATAAAGCTACTGATAACGCGCTTAGCGCAGTATGGGAAATACCCAGACTCCTCTTTTAGCAACGGAGGTCTCTGTCATCCACAGCGAAGCATTAGATGACGAGAAAAGGCGTCGAGGGAAACCCTACACAGTTTAATACACATATCGCCTGATTTGACTTACCCGAGGTAAGTTACCTCAGAAAATACGGTGAATATATCACCCTTGAACGCCGAATACGCGAAATAATTTCGCCTTGACCATCGATACAGCCGTTAAACGCCTCGAGAAACCTGACTAAGAACAACATGATTGTTCCATCAGCCACAGCTCACCAAAGATTATATTGCGGCCCGAAGGGGATGGGAGTCCGATGATGGGATGTTCACCGGACGAGTCTCCGGCTCAGCCGGAGCATAAAATCCGGACTAACGTGCAATCGTGCAGCGGCCAATATAGCAGTCTCAAACACAAAGCGTCAGTAGCTTCACTGTTAAATTGACTGATAATTCTCTCACAGTGCATGTAAGTGCTCTTCATACCGTAACTCGATCAACTCCTGTTCAGGTTGTTTAGCATGTCGACTTACTCCTTCTGGCCAGAGACTGCTCATGAACTTGAGAAAACTTGCTAACCAAGATTTGACTGAGCGTTTTTATGAGGACCCATCGGCACTACCAAGCTTAGCGCCAGACCTAGACATAAACATGGAGGCGGTGCTCCTACCCGTTCCACTCGACAACGATGGTCCCGCTAGTGTAGATCGTCATTGACGATTCGTCAAGGAGTTATTGTGATGAGAGGGCATCATGCTTATACTACTAAGAGTAGCCCTTCTATGATTATGCCACATGGTAAGTGAGGTTTGTGACGAAAATGAAAATGTGTGTTCAAGCGTGTTGGGATCGAGAGAAGCCGTTTCGAGTGGTGGTGAAGACGGCAATGTGTATACATGGAGTCTTACTGGTAGCTCCAGTGAAGCCCCTCTGGTGTGGGTCGGCCGGTCGGCCCATCATGACACTGTGAACCTTGTGAATTACTGTCCACACACGCATGGTGTTATGCTCAGCAGCTCTGATGACAATAGTCTTGTAGTCTGGCTCAGCGATCAGCGCTCTTATCATGCCGAGACTTACAGTAGAGACAGTTGTGTACCTGATTACCAGAAGATTGAGCGGTATCTCTCCTCTACGCAGCATATTGGCGATTGCCCACAACCGTGGGTGCTCGTGGTCGTGATGAAGATCTTTAGCTTCTATTACAAAACACTAGAAGTCTTTGTTGAAGGGATCATGAGATTTATGGAACAAAGCTCATTCTCATCCTGGCGCGTTATAGTTGCTCAGAGCAACTTGCTCTTTCTTTGAGAATTGATACCCGGTATCAATTCTCATGAAACATCAAAACGGCATCAACCTCATTTCTCATGCGGTAGCCGCATGAAACAACAAGTCTCCAGTTCCTAAACTGGCCTGAGCCTCAATCCTTGGGGCCTTCTCTCGAATCAATAGATACAGGTTGAACAAGAGGAGCTTGTCCATCTTCTCACGCGTGGCAGGGTAATCAGGGGTGCACCGCTCCGCTCGAGCCAATTCTGCTGGAACCTCATAGATGCGCGCATCAAAACAGATTTGCTTCGATGTCATGAATCGCAGATACCCTTTCTCTCCCGAAGTATTTCAGGAAACGGTGAGTGACACACTCAGCCTTGTTGATACGGGTTTCAGGGGATTGCAAGACTGGGAAGGATTTCTTCGTAGCCTACTGGCAGTAGGCAATGCACGGATCGGAGCCTTCGAGGCTTAGCCTCGGAATCCGGCAAGGTCGAACCACGTTCCCAGAATACTGCGTGCGATTAACAGGAGAACTTCCTCGATCGAACCCATTCCACCATAACAAAGTCCATGCTGCCACTGGCAGCCTGCCAGCACGTGAACTTATCGGGGCCGCTGTCGCGAGCATTGCGGAGATACCCATCACAGTACGCACGCGCGGAATGACGGTAGCCCGATTCTCCTCCCTCGCTTCTGGTATGCCGTGTACCATCCAATTGAGGAACGTGCCAGGAACGAACTGATTTGAACGCCGAAATGGCCTACGCTACCGAAGGGGGGGAAAAATGGCCCACCCCTCGATTTCGCGGTGCGTGACAGTAACTGTCAACTGTTGATGAACAAAATAAGAATCAATTGGAGTAATGCTACTTCATCGTTTGTCTGCGCAAAGCCGACCTCAGGTGCGAAGATCACGAGAGAGGA